TGATGATGTTGATGGAGATGATGATGATGGAGATGATGATGGTGATAATGATGATGATGGTGGTGATGATGGTGGTGATGGTGGTGATGTTGATGGAGATGATGATGGTGGAGATGATGATGGTGATAATGATGATGATGGTGGTGATGGTGGTGGTGATTGTGGTGATGTTGATGGAGATGATGATGGTGGTGATGGTGATGGTGGTGATGTTGATGGAGATGATGTTGATGGAGATGATGATGGTGGTGATGGTGATGGTGATGATGTTGATGGAGATGATGTTGATGGAGATGATGATGGTGATAATGATGATGATGGTGGTGATGGTGATGGTAAGGATATACTGATGATGTTGATGGAGATGATGATAGTGGTGGTGGTGACAGTGACGATGGTGGTGTGGTTGTGACATGATGGTGACAGTGATAGAGATGATGGTAGTGGTGGTGATTGTGGGGGTGCTAATCGTGTTGTTGATGAAGAGGAGGAGAAGGAGGAGGCGGAGGAGGAGGAGGAGGAAGGGAGGGAGGTGGTGACTGAGCCATGAGGTAATGAGATAGAGGAATGGGCAGCTTCTAAGAAGTACAGAGCCAGCTGGCAAGTGCAGGGCATCCTTGGTAGGTGTGGAAGATGCCAAGACCCTTGCCTTATTTCTAGACATTTGGGGGGAAGCTTACCACTCATAGGAGTTCTAAGAACCCCTCTACCCATCATCCCCCGCTTCCCAGCAGGACGGAGCTTTTGCGGTGCAAACAAGTGTCTTTTACTCATCGCGCTCTGTAGGAAGAGAGAGACTATTCATGACTCTCGTATATTACAGTAGGGTCTCATCACATATTTGTTGAACGGATTTTCAGTTGAGGACAGCAGACTCAGAGAGGCCAGACAACTTCATCCCCCATAGCGTCAAACTATGGTGTACCGAGCGGCCCCTATGTGCCCAGCATTGTTCTGGGGAATTCCTCATACGTTATCTCATGGAATCCGCACAGCAACCCCAGGAGACGGGTCTCGCTAGCCCCATTTAACAAACATGGCGGTAAGATACACATCGCACGAAGTTTGCTGTCTTAACCATTTTGAAGTAGTGTTAATTAAATTCACATTGTTGTGCAACTGATCCCCACAGCCCTTTTCATCTTGCAAAACTGAAACTCTATTACGCCCATTAAACAATAACTCCCCACCCCCCTCCCTCCAGTCTGTGGCAACTGCCATTCTACTCTGTCTCTATGACTTTGACTATTGAAGGCACCTCATACAAGTGGACTGGTACAGAATTTGGCTTTTTGTTACTGGCTTATTTTTTTTTAATGTTTATTTTTGAGACAGCACAAGCAGGGGAGGGGCAGGGAGAGGGGGATAGAGGATCCGAAGTGGGCTCCGTGCTGACAGGCTGACATCAGCGAGCCCGATGTGGGGCTTGATCTCACAAACCGTGAGATCGTGACCTGTGCTGAAGTCGGACGCTCAACCGATTGAGCCACCCATGGCGCCCCTGTTACTGGCTTATTTCTTCAAGGTTCATCAGTGTCGTAGCCTGTGTTAGACCCTCCCTCCTTTTTAAGGCCGAATGATGTTCCACTGCATGTACGTACCACATTTCATCTATTCATCTGTTGTTGGACACTTGAGTTGCTTCCACCTTTCGGCTGTTGTGAACAACGCTGCAAATATCTCTTCGAGGCTAGCCCATTTTACAGAGGAGCACGTAGAGGCTCTGAGAGGAGGGATGAGCTGCCCGAGGGAAGAATCTCCCCAGTCTCCTGGATCCCCCAAAGCAGGGCTCCTTCTGTCTCATCCCACTGCCTCCTTTATGACCTGCCTCCCCTCTGCCACCAGGCGCCCACCCCATGTGCTGCACCTGCAGAGACCTCTTGATCCCTGAAAGTTCAAGGACAGGGAGTAGCGGGTGCAACGTCAGCCATTCCCTTCCCTTCCCCCGCCGCAGCCTCTGTGCCCAGAAATCGATGACAATGATCTGCTTTCACTCACGGGCCAGATATGGATGAAGCACCCACTGTGTGCCAGGCATATTCTGGGCACTGGACGAGGACCCCGGGAAACGAGAAGACACTACCTCCTCCAGGGCAGGGATGTTTGTCTCATTTGCTCACTGCTGCCCCCTAGGACCAAGGAGCGTGCTTGACACACAGCTGGTGCTCAATAAATGTCTTTTGGGTGAAATGAAGATCCTGGTGGGAGCAGAAGCCTAGAGATCCAAACACCCTCCCCCTCTTCTCCCGCCGCCCCTGCCGCTGCTGGGTCCTGAGCCGGCCCCTCTCCTGTCACACGGCGGGGCGAGGGCCCCCCTGGTCAGGATGGGCGGGGGAGCTGCAGAGAAGCCTTTTCTCCTTTGCCTCGCAGATCACCTTCATACCCGCTGACTCTGACTTCCAAGGCAACCTGTCCCCAAAGGCGCTGGGCCTGCTGGAGAGGCGAGATGGGCTCGCCTCCGAGATGAAGAGGTAGGTGCCAGGCCCTCGGGGGTGGGGGTGGGGGGCAGCGGCAGCCCCTCAGGCCAGGCCAGCCTCCTCTTACGGAGGAGAGTGATGGAGTCCGGGTGGGAGGGGCGGGCGGTGTCTCCTCTGCTTTGCTGCAGGTTCCCGCTTTGCCTCCTCACGCACTGAGAGCATGCTATTAATAATCGGGGATTGTTCTGAACTCTCAATTCTACGACGTAGGCGTTATTATTCCCACTTGACAGATGAGGAAACTGAGGCTCAGGGACTTTGCCCTGTCTTGGAGAGACGTAGAGGCGGGGCCAGAAATCAAGAACAGGTGTGGCCCCAAATCCCAAACAGCTGTGATGGCTACTATGCCTTGTGACGGCAAACAAGGGGCATGTCGATGGCCAAGCACAGCCGTGTGGGATTTGGGGAAAGCGACTTACCGCTCTTTGCCCCGCCTGCAAAATAGGGGTACTGATAGCACCTTTCTCCTAGGGCTTCGGGGAGAGATAGGTGAGATAATATAAGCAAAGTGCTGAGAACAGAACCTGGTGCATGGTAGGCCCTCTCCCTAAGCGTGTCACCATTTGTAGGAAACACTTCCTTTGCACCAGAGGCTAAACCGGTAATGCACTCGTGACTTCCTTCAGTCCTCATAGAGACCCTGTGAAGTGGGGAGGCGGGGGGGGGGGGGGGGGGGGGGGGGGGGGGGGGGTCAGGCCCTTTATACAGATGTGGAAACTGAGGCTCAGAAAGGACAACCACAGGCCTTAAACCTCGTAGGGAGTCAGTGATGGGCCAGACCCTGGGGAGGGAGTGGGACCGGCCACCCTCCCCAGCCCTGGAGGCTGTGGCTCTGTGCTCAGAGCGCTAAGCTGTACGTCCAGGGTCTGTGACCAGGGCCCTGGAACTGTCTGCGTTGCCTAGGGAAGGAGGCAGGGATGGTGTTTTCTGTTCCTGGCGCACAGAGTGACCGAATGTCCCCAGGGGAGTGAGGTGGCTAGACCCTGGGTGGGCGCAGGGGTCAGCCTCGGGATCGGTGCCACAGGACGGGCCACTGCACAGAGCTGCTGCTCAGGCTGCTCTGAGTTCTGGGCTCACCTGTGTGATCCTGGCTGAGGGAGCTAGGCTCCGAACCTCACCTTCCGGAGGGGCTGCAGGCAGGATAGAGAACGTGATGGCTGGAGCCCTAGCTCTGCCACCTGCTGTCCGAGGCACCCACAGCTCAAGTCGCAGTGCCTCCCAGCTCCCAGTTACGGTGCGGATTAGCTGAGCTCCCTGACGCAGCCTGGCGGGCAAGGAGCACTCGACAGCTGGGCTGTTGTCCTCACCTGAACAACGCTGGGCTCCGAGGCGGTGTTCGGAATAAATGGGATGGGAAGCCGGGGCCTTTAGCCCACTGTCTGAAACGCAGCCCGCTTTCAGCCAGTGCGGACTGGGGTGCATCTCACAACTGTACTCCTGGGGTTACCTTTGGAGACGTGGAGTAAAAGGAGCACTGGACTGAGAGTCTGAGCCCTGCCACGCCTTCTTGGGCCTCAGTGTTCTCATCCACGAACTGGGTACAGTTACATCCCCCCCCAAAGGCTTCTTGGAGACCCGGGGAGACCGGATGTCCAGAACAGGGGGGCCGGGGGAAGCGGGGGGAACGCCGATGTCTCCTCCTGTGTGGACCTTTGCCCACCTACCTGTCTGTCCTGTCTCCGCTGTCTGCTGTGCCCCACCCAGCCCCCAGCCCCCATACGTCAGGCTGTGGGAGGAAGCCGCCTATGACCAGAGCCTGCCTGACTTCAGCCACATCCAGATGAAGGTCATGGGCTACCATGAGGACCCCCGTCCCCTGCTGGCCCCTGAGCCGGGACAGCCGCAGCTGGGAGCCAGTGGTGGAGGAGAAGGTGGCCCTTGTGAGGCTCAGGCCTGGATGGAGGCTGCGGTGGTCATCCACAGGGTCTCAGATGAGGACGGGGAAGAGAGAAGCCCGACTGAGAGCAGGCTTGGGTGAGTGCACGGAGTGCAGGAGTGGGGATGCTGCCCAGTTCTGGGGTGAAGGAGGAGGGGCTGTGGGCCACTGATGGCTGGTGGGGGAACATCTGGGACCAGAGAGGGCATGGGGGTGGGGACACCCTGAGAGGCAGCTGATGTAGCAGACGCATGAGTCTGGGCTTGGTCGGCCGGGCCCGGGTTCGAATCCCAGCTCCTCTGCTGCGTAGCCTTGGTGAGCTTCTTATCCCCCTGGGCCTCAGTTCCCCCATGTGGGAATCATCACTCCTACCTCAGAGGGTTGTTGTGAGAACTGGGACAGTGCTTTCAAGTGCCGGGCCCACCACCGCCCCCTGCACTCTCTGAATGCTCATTGTGAGTTCTCCTGGGGGCAGGGAGCCTGACGACCTGAGTTCAAATGCGGGCTCTGTTGCTGAGGTGCTCTGGGACCTCGGGCAGGGCGCTCCCCACCCAGCCCTTCCCTGGCTATTTATGAACTGGGCTTCTCCTGCGTCCATTTATTCATTTATCCTACCGCCATTGCTGGAACCTACTGCCTGCCCCCC